TTTTCCTGACGAACAGCTGCAGCACGCCCACGTGATGCCCCGTCAACCAATGGGAGAAGGAGAGACACAGGTCGCCATGGCTCCACGAAGGGACTACCTGGATGGCCAGTCGAGCACCACGGATGCTCGTCTGTCCCGCCTTCAGCTCGGGGACAGATAAGTACCACCCACCTGAGACACATACGATCATCAGAGCAGAAACTGAATTGAAACGAATTCTACTTTTCACTGGGAACGCATCATGTCAATCAGACATCCTTACTATGACATGAAAACGTGTGTGTGTGTGTGTGTGTGTGTGTGTGTTACCTGCAGGACTGTGAACCGTCTCCCAGTGTAGATCTCCCTCACTGTCAGACATCCAGTCACAGAGTCTGTGATTGAAGCTGCAACGGAGCTCCCCGACCTCTACGATCAAAGACAAGCAGGAATGCTACTAAAGTCACCAGCTGGGGGAAGTTTGATATGACCCTGTAATCTCCTCTTTTAAACAGGGAAATGAGACGTGTCTGCTTTTTTAAAAATATGAATATTAACCTCCTTCATCACGCAGTGTAACCGGTGCTTACCAGGATCGTCTCTGGCATCTTCCGCGATGTTTCCCAGCTCGATGTCAAACTCCCACACGTGGTTGTGACCAGGATGTCGAGGGACTGCAGAGCACACACACACAAACAAGTAAACGATCAGTTTATCCTATTATTTTTTTTTGTATTATTTGGTTCATGCTGATATTCAGTATTTAAAATGCTTCTAACCGCCCATCAAAGACATTCAGTCTATAAACCAACAAAAGCAAACACACCAGCACATATATAAACTAATTACTGAAATTTTTAAAAGAGAAAAATCAATGTTAGTCCTCTTCAACCGACACGCAGGCTTTGTATACACACATGTGAAAACCAGACTGAAGTCCAAAGTTTGCAGTTTTTTCTTTCTTACATATCCTTAAAAAAAAATTTAAGTCTAGATTAGCATGCAAAAACTGGTTTCATTTTTCTATCTTTGTTTATTTTCATGAATTTTTAACTGGAAGTCATCAATCTAAGTCACTTCTTTGAATTATTTTCAAAGCAATCAGACAAAAATCTTACTTCAAGGCCTCCCAGTAATGATTTACAAACGTAGACTTTTTTTGTTCAAACTTGAACTCACAGGTAAGAATACTGGAGCAGTGATTAGCACTACTGCCTCACAGCAACACCATCCTGGGTTCGACTTCACTGTGTGCCTTAGAAGAATCATCTTTTTTCAAGATATTTTCTCTCAAAATGAGAAAGAAGCATTGACAGGCTAGTTTTGATTTTTTTTTGGAAGGAGTGTTTCAGCACTTCCTTTAAGATATTTCTCACATGTTTAAAAAAAAAAAATCTTATTTTAAGAAATCTTACCAAGTGTAATCATCTTACTGCCAGATTATTTCCCTTGATTATTACTGGATCTTCTTAATTTTTAATTTTTTTGT